AGTCACTGTATTCTTATTCTTTTCTCAAGAAAAGAATTTAATTCAGTTACCTATGAATCTTCTGTCTCGCTGATACTAAGAGAGCACTCTCAATTAATTATGGTTCTCTTGGAAAATACAAGAAATGAGGTTATTATTGTGTCCTGTGGTTACATTAAAGTCAGAAGCAGGAAGAATGCTGAACAATGGTATCTGCTGAGGTGGATTCTTTTATCCCTGCTGCTGCTGACTGAATGGTAAATAAAGGCTCATCAACATTATGGCAGGAGTTACCATATGGCAGGAATGAAGTAGAACAGGGATTATAATGGCAGCGTAACAGGTTCGTCTATTGAACCACTGGGTTAGGTTATGGTAGAACTGTATGTGGAGCTGATGACCTATGAGATGATTACTTATGGAGATGATGACCTACGAGGGAAGGCTGAAGGAATTGGGCTTGTTTAGTTTGGAAAATAAAAGACTGAGAAGAGACATGAGAGCAGTTCTCAAGTACCTAAAAGGGTGTTACAAGGAGAAGGGAGAAGAACTGAAAACTGTTCTCCTTGACCTCTGATGATAGGACAAGAAGCAATGGTCTTAAATTGCTGAAAGGGAAATTAGGAACATTTTTCTAACTGCCAGGGTGGTTAAACACTGGAATAAATTGCCTAGGGAGGCTGCAGAATCTCAATCACTGGAGATATTTAGGAGTAGGTTGGATAGACGTTTATCAGGGATGATCTAGATGCTGCTTGGTCCTACCTTGAGGACAGGGGACTTGACTTGATGACCTCTCAAAGTCCCTTCCAGTTCTAGTAGTCTATGATTCTATGCCCACTGAATGGTTAGTTGGGAATTGTGTAGAATTATGGAGTAGTTTCAGTCCAGTGCATAGTGGACAAGTTTTCATATTACAAAATCACTGCTAGGGCACCACAATGTGCATCCTCACTGGCAGTCTCAGGAGAGAGAACAATGGCTGAGCACTGAAACTGAACTACTCACTTGCGTCTTCTGGAGGGTTCATCCTGATCAAACTTCAGCACGTTATTGCAACACTAAGAATATGTCTTCACTCCAGGGTTAATCCTAGCTGTTACTTAGATGTTGCTTGTAATCCCCATCTGGTCCACACACAAAGCATCTCATCAAAGTCCAGGGGTGCTTTCAGCCTGAACTAACTGGCCTGGCTGGAGGTGTGAAGCTGAGCTCAGTTTCACTTTCACTCAGAGGCTACATCTAGACTGCAAGCTTCTTTCGGAAAAACTTTTTTCTACACAGCAAAAGCTCAACGAAAAAGCGACCTGCTTTTTTGAAAGATAGCGTCCACATTGATTATTCGCTAGCTCACATATAAGGCCACCCAGAACCAGTTCAGGCAGGGCATTAGGTCACCAGTTGCTTGCGAGTGCTATTGCCTAAGCCTAGCGGAGAGACGTGCTTAAAGGGACCCGCCTCGACAGTCCTTTCTCTGCTTCTGCTGCGTGCTTGCCTAACTCTCTGAGGGACAGCAATGCTTTAGCAGTATGTGCTCTGGTTGCCCAGCTTTTGGACACCACAGCATTCTTCTTGCCATGGAGCCGGAGCTGCCCTTGAGCATGCAATAGCCCCACACTGCCATGCTGCGGTTTGTGCAGCAGTTTGTGCAGGCTGTTTTCATGGCCCTCTCCCTGCGTGCGGGAGCAAGACCCTTGCACCCGCACCCCATAGTGAAGAGACAATTCTGGAGGCTGGACACCAGTTCTGTTTGGTGGGACTGGCTGATTATGGAGAGGTGGGATGACCAGCAGTCGCGCCAAAACTTCTGCCTGCAGAAAGCCACCTTTATGGAGATGTGTGCCTGGCTCGCCCCTGCCCTCCAATGACTTGCAGTAGATGAGAAGCTGGATATGCGTCAACAGTGTCCCTTTGTAGTCAAGAAGGCTAATGGCATATTAGGGTGCATTAGGAGGAGCATTGCCAGCAGATCCAGAGATGTCATTATTCCTCTTTATTCAGCTCTGGTGAGGCCACTTCTGGAGTATTGTGCTCAGTTTTGGGCCCCCCACTATAGAAAGGATGTGGATTCATTGGAGAGGGCCCAGCAGAGGGCGACCAAAATGATTAGGGGGCTGGAGCGCATGACCTATGAGGAGAGACTGAGAGATTTGGGTTTGTTTAGTCTGCAGAAGAGAAAAGTGAGGGGGGATTTGATAGCAGCCTTCAACTTCCTGAAGGGAGGTTCCAAAGAGGATGGAGAAAGACTGTTCACAGTAGTGACGGATGGCAAAACAAGGGGCAGTGATCTCAAGTTACAGTGGAAGGGTATGTCTACACTACCCTCCTAGTTCGAACTAGGAGGGGAATGTAGGCATACCGCACTTGCAAATGAAGCCCGGGAAATTCAAATCCCGGGCTTCATTTGCAAGTGCGGTATGCCTACATTCCCCTCCTAGTTCGAACTAGGAGGGGAATGTAGGCATACCGCACTTGCAAATGAAGCCCGGGAAATTCAAATCCCGGGCTTCATTTGCAAGTGCGGTATGCCTACATTCCCCTCCTAGTTCGAACTAGGAGGGGAATGTAGGCATACCGCACTTGCAAATGAAGCCCGGGAAATTCAAATCCCGGGCTTCATTTGCAAGTGCGGTATGCCTACATTCCCCTCCTAGTTCGAACTAGGAGGGGAATGTAGGCATACCGCACTTGCAAATGAAGCCCGGGAAATTCAAATCCCGGGCTTCATTTGCAAGTGCGGTATGCCTACATTCCCCTCCTAGTTCGAACTAGGAGGGGAATGTAGGCATACCGCACTTGCAAATGAAGCCCGGGAAATTCAAATCCCGGGCTTCATTTGCAAGTGCGGTATGCCTACATTACCACCCTAGTTCGAACTAGGGTGGTAGTGTAGACATACCCGAAGAGATTTAGGTTGGATATTAGGAAAAACTATTTCACTAGGAGGGTGGTGAAGCACTAGAATGGGTTACCTAGGAGGTGGTGGAATCTCCATCCCTAGAGATGTTTAAGTCTCGGCTTGACAAAGCCCTGACTGGGGTGATTTAGTTGGGATTGGTCCTGCCTTGGGCAGGGGGCTGGACTCAATGACCTCCTGAGGTCTCTTCCAGCTCTGTGATTCTATGACACCCACCTGTGGCCACCCATCCCCTTGGCAAAATGGGTCACCACTGGCATCTTGAAACTCGCCTCCTCAGACATTTACTGGTCGGTGGTCAACCAGTTCAGCATGGGAAAGTCCACTGTTGGGGCCCTCCTCATGGATATAAGGCACTTTCGGGCTGCAGTCCCTGTAAGGGGGAGGGGAGTCCTGGAAAGGGGGACCCCTAGGGAAATGGGGAGTGGGCAGTGCAGGGATGGGCAGGGAGTAGAGGGGAAACCCTGTCCCTGGGGGCTTGTGCCATCCCGCCCCATACAGTCCTTGACGCCGTGTCCTCCTCTATGAACAGTGAGCAACAGTCCTTGGGCCAGAGGACGGTGATGTCTCGTGAGTCAGGCCATGTGTGGCCTGCACAGCAGGTCCTGCATCACAGGGACCCCGAGGTGCCCAGGGGACCACACTTCCCAATACCACCCGCTTCCAGGTCCCTCAGGCAAGGGAATTGTCCAGCCACAGTGGGATCCCATGGGCAGGAGAGGGGCCTGGAGCAGCCTAGCCTTGCATGAGGCCCGCACACACACCTGCACCTGGCAGCGCTGTCCACGGGAGCGGGTGGTGCCTCACGTGTGCAGGTAAGGCCGTGTGCTGTGTGTGGCACTCCTCAGTCTGTATGGAGTCGTGCGTGTGCCCTTGTGCCCGGCCTGCATCCAGGAGTGACTAGTGGTGAGAGGGCATCATCCTCAGGGGTCAGACATGTGTGTGTGGCCACCCCTGAGCCCGTAAGCAGGATCCCAGGGATGCTCTGGGGCTGCCTCCTGAGGCCGCATGGTGTAAACTGGTGCTGCACATGCTTCCACATGCACCGACTGCAGCATGATGTCCAGGCCGAGAAGGCTGATCAACAATTGCACCCCATCCCCCACCCTGTGTGTGTGTGGAAAACTGAGAGCACTCACCTGATCATCCCTCCCGACTGTCAGAGGATGCCTGCTACACGTCCAGGCCCTGGGGTAGCAGTTCGAGGGTCAGAGTCATGGTGCTTGCCATATCCTCCTCCTCCTGAACCTGCAGTTCTTCATCATCATCCTCCTCCTCGGCAGGGAGCTCCGGGTGGGTGACAATGAGTATCTTGAGCCCCGAGTGCACAACCACGGGTGGGGAAAGGGCTTTCTCACCTCCCAGGATCTGGTGGAGCTCCTGGAAATAGGGGCAGGAGTGGGGTTCTGCCCTGGAGTGAGAGCTGAGCTCCTGGATCCCGGCATAGCCCTGGCGTAGCTCCTTCAGCTTACTCCAGACCTGTCCCAAACTCAGGCAAGGAAAACAAGATGTGAAGATTCTTCCCCAGTTCTTCTGTGGAATGTAAAAGGTTTCCCTTCTCTGCCCACTCCCCCAACCTTTGTATGTTTGATTTTGTTTGTTTGGTTGGTTGGATGGTTGTTTGTTTGTTTTTAAGTCACTCTTGTTAATTATCCTGCACACACCAGATATCCAAGAAAGCTGAGATGGTAAAGTTATATACAGCATCTCTGACCTCTTTGCAATGAAGATAATATCTGTCCAATAAAGCCTCGACCAAATGACAGTGACAGCTGCATTGTGATATTCAGTTTGAATTGAACAGGTCTGGCCAGCAGCACTGGGAGCAAGTCCTTCATTACTATCTGCAGCACCAAGAAAAGCAACTGAAACCCATCCTAAAAAAGTGAAACCTTCCCTTTGCAGCTGCAGAAGATGGTTTTGGTACCCAGAAGCAGGTGCTCTTCATAGTATTCTCCAGATCTCTTTGGTTTATTTTATTTTATTTTATTTGATTTGATTTGATTTGATTTACTTTCTTCAGAAGGCTGCAATCCTCTCTTCACTACTGACTTTAGAAAGGAAGGAAAGCTAACTTCTTTCAAAAGCATCAGTCTGGAGTGTAATGGGAGCTGAACACTCAAAAGACAAGCATCAAAGAAGAATGTTTTTGCTCAGGAAAGGCCAGAGACTTCCTGCATGGGAAGAAGCTCTCATCTCAGGAAAAGATCCAAAGTCTCTGCTAAAACGTGGATTGCGTTATGTCAGTCTGAGCCTCATAATGAAGGGGATGACAAATGTGCCTGACTTTTTGTGGAGCTTGTCGGAGGTGCAGAAATTGAACCTTTCACACAATCAGCTGGTGGCTCTTCCTCCTGCTTTGGGGAGACTAGACAGATTAGCAGTGCTGAACTTATGTGGCAATCGCCTGAAGTGCCTGCCTAAAGAGACTGGGCTACTCAAAAACCTGAAGGTTTTATTTGTTGATATGAATTGCCTGAGTGAAGTGCCAGCAGAGCTCAGTCTGTGCAGAAAGCTGGAAGTTTTGAGTCTTTCCCACAATTGCATCTCACAACTCCCTTCAAGTTTCACTGAGCTGACGAGCCTGAGGAAGCTGAACCTGAGTAACAATCATTTTGTTCACATCCCCTTATGTGTTTTTGCATTGAGGGGATTAGATTTCTTGCACTTAGGCTCCAACAGACTTGAAAACATTGCAGAAAGTGTCCAGTACCTAATACATTTGCAGATCTTTATAGTAGAAGATAACAATATTCGCACCTTGCCACGGTCTCTCTGCTCCATCACTGCTCTTGAGCTACTAAATGTAGCTTACAATTCAATCCAGACCCTTCCAGATGATCTATATCTGCTGCACAGATTGCCAAAAATTGCTTGGAATCCAATGGATAAAGGGCTCCATATTTCACATAACCCATTGTCCAGACCATTGCCAGAGGTTGTAGAGGGGGGACTGGATATGCTCTTCAGCTACCTTAAAGAGAAAAGACAACACAGCTAAACTTGCACTGTGTTCAAGATTAACGCTGTCACCAAGACTCAGTCATGTCAGTGCACTTCCTTAATTAGTGGTTGCCACTTCCTAACACAGGAAGATGATAAAGACTAAAGATGGTTTCAGTAAAATTTTTTGAAAGTGAGTCAAATCTGACTATCTAGTTTAACTGTGCATAAAGTGTATTTTCTACAACATCCTGCTCTGTAACTATCAGTGTTTGGCATGTCTTTTAGGAGAAACTGTGAGCAAAATTTTGCTCTTTACTATAAATAAACAAATTAAAGCCGGCCTAAACCATTATAAATGGTATATTTGTCATCTTTCAGACTTCAGTAATATTAAATGGGCTTTACTGTAGTTGGTGTCATTTGCACTTTAATTCCTGTTCATTTTTCCTGCACGCACACACACACAAACATGCACTGCAATCCAACTGACTTTCAAGGCGGAATATTTAATTTTATTCACAAAATAGATTTGCTACTATATCTCTAATAGTGTCTGTAGCTTCTGTTTGCCAGAAGCTGGGTGACAGGCGTTGGATCACTTAATGATTATCTGTTCTATTCATTCCTTCTGAAGACAGAAAACTGAGCTAGATGGACCTTTGGTCCAGCCCAGTATGGCTGTTCTTGTGTTCCATTTTACATCTATGAGATAATCACTGTAAATTACAGGTAAAGATTGAAGGCAGTTGGGGGATCTCTACGTGGTTTGGATTAAATGTCCTCAAAGTGAAACAAGTCTCTCACACACCTATCTCCAACCTGAAAACTTTCCCACAAAGGTTTTCAGGGTCCCTACAGCATAGGTTTCAGTACACAGTACATCCCTGAAACCTAGCCCATCAGAATTTCTACATGGAATTCACACATGCGTTCATGAGATATCATCATTCTACCAAATACTGATTGCCTGATTAAGATGTGACTAATATTACTCGATGAACAACTGCACTAATTTCCTTTCCACGTGTCCCTGCAATTTGAGCCATGAAGTAACTTTACTCAGGCAACAGAATATATTTAAGTGAACTGAAAGTATTTTTCTATTAAGGAAAGCACTATGCATCCAATCATCAGCTCGTGAGAGCCTCAAAGCCAACTTCTTCTGTAACTTTCATCATTAACAAGGAACATAAAAGTAATGGCTGATATGGTTCTATATATTTATCTTCATTAATGTATCATACTCAATAAGGGCAGGTAATACAGAAGAGCTGTTAAGGTTTTTCAAGCCAGTTCTCCTCTTAAACCAGTATAAACAGACTTGATAGAATTCAATTTTAACTTTTTTATAATTTTGACAGAGAATGTCACTTATTTTAAAGCATTTTTCAATGTTTATATACATTTTCAGTTGCAGGATGATAGTGGGTGTCTCGGATAATAATTATTTAATGGTAGCAGATATAGGCAAAAAATTAAAGCTTTGCAATTGTTCAAACATGAATTGTCAACTTCAGGTTTCAAGTAAATATCCTTAAACTCTAATACACTCACAAGATCTCGCTTAGCAGAGCTTTAAACATCTGTTATCAATGGAAATATTTTATCGAATGCTGCATGAATGTGTGAATGATGCATTTGACATTTACCAATTAAAAATCTTATCCTTCTATACCTAAAAATAAATCTGAAGTATCTCCACTGAGGTCAGTAAGGAAACACTGGTGTAAAGATGGTAAAAATCAGAGGTAAAGCAGGTGTATTGTTTTAAAATTATTTATTTAAGAAAATTAAAAAAAAAAAACCCTTCCAGTGTTTGACTTCTTAATCTCAGAAATCACTGCATTTTAAATTTAATTTGTTCTTCACATATAGACCTGGGGGGAGGGGCGTAGGTATTAGATCATGTCCCTCAAAAAAATGAATGGTAAGCAACTGATTCCTGTGAATAACCATTTGTTTCACTGGCAGCAGAAACAGCCTAATAACAAACAGTTAAATTGTGGATACATACAATATACTTTGTAAATTGCAAAGGCAAGAGCTTCAGCTGTTACTTTAATGCTGAGGTATTAATACAGTACTAAACAGAGCTAAGTAGTCTGCTAATTGAAGGCATGAGGACTGGTAACCCTAAGTGGTATGGTTTGCATCTCACTGGGTTCTATTAAGAGAGGAATTTTAGTGTTATCCTCAGCAACAGCAGTTTTCAAGTATACAATTAAGCATTAAGTCCTATGTTCCTAGAAAAGGGGGAAACCTTTCTAAAAGACACATCTATTTGAGGATTAATATAAGAAATGAACAAATCTGCTGTGTATGAGACAGCAAAATGTCATCATAACTTAACTTGCTAATGAAGAACAGGGATGATGAATACAATTAGTGCATACTCAGGCTTTACAATCTTTATTTTTATGGAAGTAGCAGGATATATGTAAGTTCTGCTTTTTATGAACTTTTGTTGTGCATAAATTTGTGTTTCAAAGAGTGATAAGCAACGTAATATTGCAATTATTAGTAGAGATAAAATACAAACCCTGTTTTTATTTCAGACATAGATAATTACATTATTAAATGTCCACTCCAAAAGCTCTATATCTAGCAGCATATGTAAGTGTTAACAGCCGTGCATTAGAGGTGTACAGGAAGGTTAAATGCCAGGACATTAATCTCCTGGAAAGTTTTTTTTTCATGTATCGATAGGCAGGGCCAGCTCTAGGTTTTTTGCCGCCCCAAGCAAAACATTTTTTGGCCACCCCCCCCTTGGCCTGCTGCCGTAGGACAGACACTGAGGAGGAAAGCGTCCCTTTCACCTTGCAGCTCTTTGACTCCCACCACAGCTTCTGTTCAAACCCATCCTATGTCCTGTTTCCCCTCCACACACATCCCCGTCCACGCACATCCCAACCCCCCTCCCCCACTCACCGAACCCAGTTTCCACCTTCTCTCCCCTCCCAGGCAAACCCGACCCCTCAGTGACTGGACCCAGTTCCCCCTGCCCCTTCTCTCCCTCACCTAATCCACCCTGCGCCCTCTCTTCCCTCCCAGACAAACCCGATCCCGACTGGACCCAGTCCGCTCCCCCTCCTATCTCCCCACACTGATCGAACTCCGGTTCCTTTCCGTCTCCCCGCCAAACCCTCGTGTCCCCTCCCCACAGCACACGCGGAAATGTCGGAGCACCCTGGTGGAGGGGTGAAAGTGGCACGAGTCCCCCTGGGGATGCGCGCAGACACAGCCACGAAACATAACTTGCAAGGCCAGGGGTTTGCAGCTCAGCTCCCAGAGCGAGGCAGCAACACCTCTCTCCCTCCCCACCCCAAATCTCTGAGCCGGGGCAGGCGAGGCCCCCCCTTTATCCCCACCCGCCTGTAGGCCACGCCAGCCAATCTGCGTTTACAAACTGGCAGCCAGCGCCGGCCACACGCCGCCCAGCCAATCTGCGTTTACAAACTGGCAGCCAGCGCATGCCACCCGACCCCGCCAACACCCCGCTCCCCTGGCAATGCGCGTCAACCGCCCCCCGAGACCCCGCCCCTCCACTGGGGGGCACTGTGGGAGGGGACAGGCGGGCAGAGCCCATGGTGACGAGTCCCTGTGGGGAAATCTCTTCCCGGGCTGGGGAAGCCCCTGTGAGCCGAGCCGGGACAGGCCAGAGCTGCGCATCTCCGTGCAGCACAGCCGGGTTCTGTGTGCTCACCGCTGGAAAGATGCACAGGGCCAAGGCAGTGCTGAGAGTGCTGCCCAAGTGCCCAGCCTGCTCCTGGCCCAGCTCCGGCTCCGGCTCAGGCTGTCCCGCAATCTCTTCCCGGGCTGGGGAAGCCCCTGTGAGCCGAGCCGGGACAGGCCAGAGCTGCGCATCTCCGTGCAGCACAGCCGGGTTCTGTGTGCTCACCGCTGGAAAGATGCACAGGGCCAAGGCAGTGCTGAGAGTGCTGCCCAAGTGCCCAGCCTGCTCCTGGCCCAGCTCCGGCTCCGGCTCAGGCTGTCCCGCGGAAAAGCCGGCCCATGGAGCCTGCGCCCCACGGACTGGGTGTCGCGCCGTACTCCCGGGCAGACAATGCGGGGGCCACAGAGGGGCACGGGACAGGGCCGCCATCCCCTGAAGCTGACCACGCAACACCCGGGGGCCCCGCTAATCTGAATTGCCGCGCGCCTCACCGCTCACTCTGGGCGGGGCAATGGGACCGCCCCAGCCCACTGCGCTCCCCACCCTGTGCACCCCCCTGCCCGCTGCAGCCTTGGTGACGGAAAAGCCGGCCCATGGAGCCTGCGCCCCACGGACTGGGTGTCGCGCCGTACTCCCGGGCAGACAATGCGGGGGCCACAGAGGGGCACGGGACAGGGCCGCCATCCCCTGAAGCTGACCACGCAACACCCGGGGGCCCCGCTAATCTGAATTGCCGCGCGCCTCACCGCTCACTCTGGGCGGGGCAATGGGACCGCCCCAGCCCACTGCGCTCCCCACCCTGTGCACGCACCACCGAGTGAGCCACAGGCAGGGCCAGTCACCCACTAGCGAGAGATCTGCCACGGGCAGCGCATTTTGTCCCTAGGTCTGCTGTGCGTGCGCCCCACAGCAGGCATGCAATGAGGGCAAGTTCGGGGCTGGCATGACCATGCTGTCTCACCTCCGCCGAGCCCAGGGCATGGAGCAGGGCCAAGGGCAGGCCGCAGCTGCTGTAGCTCTCTCCCTAGCTGCCCGCGAAGCAAGCTTACCTCCCGGGTGGCGAGCCCCGCAGGGGATGGCTGCCCGTCTCTGGCTCATATGAGTGGTGGGAATCCCAGGCTGGCTTCAGGATGTGACAGTGACACCCGCTGCCCAGTGCCTGGAAAGGGCTGGTATCCCGCACTAGGGCTGGCTTCAGTCAGGCCCCCATCAGCTGCGCTGTGAGCTTCCCCTGGCTGACAGGCAGCTCTCCCCTCCCTCCACGCCCGGCACTGAGGCTCTGATCCTTCTTCCAAGGCGATCACGTGAGGCAGCAAGAGCACACGTGCGCCCTCTGCAGGCTTCCAGCTCCGCCGCCCCGCCCATTGCCTTGGGCGGCCACA